CAGATAGTGTTATCATTCCCATTTTATCAGTGGGGAGACTGAGGCACAGAGAGGTAACTGACTTGCTCTAGACGATGCAGGTAAGCAGTGACGTAACTGGCATTCAGACCCCAGAAGAATATTATGACAAATAAGGCATAGATTACCCAATACGCGGCAAAGACTTACCAGGGCCCAAGATTATACTTGGGCTGTTATTGTGGGTCAGATTTGACAGAAAGGCTCACTCGTTTCCCTGTTGCAGAGTTTGGGACCCTTCAGTAATAAGTGAAGAGTCAAGTATCCTGTGGTCTACAAAAGCCATCCACCTGCTAGGGGCAGGAAGTGGGGATTTTCAGGTTCAAGGTAAAATTCATGTATCATAAAAGTAACCATTTTAAGGTGTACAGTAGCTTTTAGGATACTGACAATGCTGTACAACAACCTCCTCTATCTAGTTACAAAACATTTTTACCCCAAAAGGAAACACATACCCACTGAACACTTCCCATTCCCCCTCCGCTAGAGCCTGGCAACTACGAATGTGCCATCTGTCTCTATAGTTTACCTATTTGAGAAATTTCATATAGATGGAATCCTACAATACATAGGCTTTTATGTCTGGCTTCTTTCTCTTAGCACAGCATTTTTTCTAGATCCATCCATGTTATCACATGTATCAGTGTTTCCTTCCTTTTTATGGCTGAACGCTATTCCACTGTGTGGATACAGCATGTCTGTGTGTCCGGGCAGGGATTTTAAAAGAGCCATTCCATATGGTGAGTGCTGTGAAATGTATAAACCTGGCGATTCACAGACCTGTACTCCTGGGGATAAAAATACATATATTTATAAAAAAATTTTAAAATTAAAAAAAAAAAGCCATTCCATGATCCTAGCTAGTCTGAGTCAGAGAGGTTGTCCCACTGACATACAGGCAGAACTTTGAGAAACCTCATCCTGCAAGGGTCAAGAGAAGTCCGGGGAAGAAAGCTGCTGTGAGAGTACATCCTGGCTGGGATCCGGGCTTGAAAATCTAACCGCCTACTGAAATGGAAGAGAAGGGCCAGGAGGCAGACAGCAGGGAGGGTCACTGGCCACCTGCCGGGTCAAAAAGCATTCAGATACCGAAAAACAAAAAAACACTGTGCTGGGCAAATAGAACCTTTGGGTGAGCTGGGTTCCTTCACTGCTGTCTTCATAAGCCTGACTGGGTGGTCTGGAAGACTGTGGGACCAGGTCTGGCTTCGGCCTTAAAATCTCCACTAATGCAGAAAAAAAAAAAAAGTGTGGCAAATTGCATTTCAATGTCCCGCGGAGAGACGGGTGGGTTCCCAAACGTTAAGTAACCCAAAAGAATAACCCAAATGTGGGGTGTGCCGTCACCGGTCAGAGAGACAAGGCTGATGTTTCCTGTTCTGGGGATTAAGAAGAGCCTCACCATCGGCCGAGGGACAGCTTTGGAGATTCCGATCTTGGCCTCTGAGTCAGCTCACAAGGAAATAGCTAATCCCTCCACTCCGTAACTTCTACACGAGGTTTGAACCGCAGGACCTGGACTGTCTGGGACAGTGTCCGAGGACAAGGGTATGACTCATGGAACCAGGAGTCTAACCAGCAAAATGTGTTAACTTCCTACAAGAAGTCAAGACATTCCTCTGTCTTATACAACTGGTTCTTTATCCCATCACATTCCAAAAGAACAGAGTTGGAGTGTCAAGGAGTATTCAGCCCTTTGGTTCTCCACTTTGGAATCCTAAATCCCTGGGGAGCTTGTCACAGATTATCAGGCCCCACCCCCAGGAGCTGACTTCAGGGGCCTCCCAGGTGCCCAGGAATCTGCATTTTACCAGGCTTCTGGACAACTGGGCCACAGCTCCCACTTAGGCAAACCCCAGTCCAGTGAATATGCTGATAGAAACTCACTCTGGAATTGTAGCTGTCAAATCAGAGTCTAAATTGTACTGTTTGTCTAAATCTTGGAGCCCAGTGTGGAGAACTTAACTGGCCTAAAACAGAATAATATGTTTCTTTTGTTTTATTCATTCACTCCATGAGTATTTATTGAGACTCTGCAATCCCTGCAGCCATATCTACAGATAAGACAGATGTGAATCCCGCTCCTGGTAGAACTTACATTCCAGTCTAATTCACTGGATAGGAGCAAATAATTCATTTTTTCTATACAGAGAAATCTGTGAAGATGAAAACACAGACTCCCCAAGGGATGGGAGGGAAAGTGAACATCCACTAGGGTAACTACCTCATTATATGTCTCCTCTATAATATCCTTGCTGAGCATGTACCCACCCAATGTGTACTTACATACTTCTAGGGACAGGGGAACTCACACTCAGAATGGACCCATTCAGTCCTCAGACATTGAATTTTCTTTCCCTGAAACTTCTGCCCTTGGTCCTTGTTCTACGTTACAAGACGTGCAGAACAAGTTCATTGCTCTTCCCGCAGAGAGGCATTAAAATACTCAAAACTCTTTTTCACCATTCTGCTAAGTCTTCTCTTCTCCACAACGAAGACCCTGCCTTATGGCCTAATTTTGAGTCCCCTCTCCATCCTGGTTACCATCATCTTCGGGTGTGCCTTTCATCCTGTGTCTCATTTTAAAACACAGAGGTGGGGGCACCTGGGTGGCTCAGTCTGTTAAGCGTCTGACTTGGTTTCAGCTTGGGTCATGATCTCATGGTCGTGAGATCGAGCCCCACATCAGGCTCCATGCTAGTGCAGAGTCTGCCTGAGACTCTCTCTCTCTCTCTCTCTCAAATAAATAAATAAAATACTAAAAAAAATAATAATAATAAAATAAAATAGAGAGGTGGGATCCAACCAGTCATTCATTTATGTCTTTATGAAACACACATGAGCCAGGTGCTGTTTTAAGTCCTGGGGAGAAAGCCCATGGGAGAGAGTAATGGCCTTCTTCACTCAGGATGCTGTCTGTCTGTGACACGTCATTGAGCTCAGCCAACCACCACTTCCTAGGGGTCTTCATGAACAGATCACTTTTCTTACTGTAATTTACCTAAGTCTGTTGCTCACAACCAACAAATATCTTCCCTCTTTAGATGCTATCCCGCCAACTCCCAAACTTCTGATTTCTTTCCATCTCTAATATTTCCTTTCTCCCTTTTGATTCTCCCCTCTCACTTCTTCTATAAACCTGCTTTCCTGTGAGCTGAATACTGAAGTCATTTGTGGCTCAGCTCTATTTCAAAACAGATTATGTGAGCGACGTGGAGAGACCATCGAGTCTGACCTCCTCTCTTAACTCATCATTGCCCCCCCACCCCCCCATCCCCCGCCAAGGACTTCTGCCTGACCTTTTCCCTTCATCTCACCACCTTCTGAGACATCCGTATCCCCCTCACCCATTTCCTGCAGTGACCTGTGACATAGGCTTCCTGCTGGAGTCCCGAGGGTAAACAGCTCCTAGTGGATTCAACAGTATCCCGGGACCGGAAATGCTCTCTTGAATAACTCCCCAAAGCAGGCATCCCCACCCACCACTGGCAGCAGACACACCCTGTGATGACCAGGCTTGGTTGAGCCACAGACCGGGAGTCCCTCTACTGGGCTCCAAGAGCCATTGCACCTTACGTTAGCAAGAATTAAACTCCTGTTGAATTACTAAGAACCCACAAGAAAAATCAGCAAACGAAACTGAAAGATCCTGGTCTATCTCATAAATGACAAACTGGGCCTAGAATTAAAAGCTTGGAGATGAAAACAATCTCCAGCACCATCCAAATCCCACCTCATTGTTATATTCCGATGAAGAAACCGGAATGGGAGAGAGAATGTGTTAGGGGCCAAGCAGAGACAAGAATCCAGGCTGAGAAACAAGATCCCAGGATCCTTACCTCAGGCCTATCCTCTCCATTTTGGGGGCTGATTTTTCAACTGCACACCACCCCCCTGTCGCTTGGCCAGCATTCCAGTCCTGGGGGTTCCAGGCAACAAACCACAATGGAAAGCATATCCTAAAAACAAAGTCAGACAAACAAATGCCATCTGGGTGCCCAGGAATCCAGCTATTTGCTGGCCCCCTTCCTTTCTGGGCTGGTGATAAGAGCAATGGCACCAGAGGGATAATATGTTCCTACTTTTCCTTCTAATCCACGACACCTGTTTCTTCTTTGGGGAATGTGTAATATTTGGGGCTTCTTCTCAACATGTGACCAGCCACCTGTTGTTCATGCCTTTCCAAATTGGCCTCTCGAGTTTGGGGCTGGCCAACTGGACAGCCCCCCACACAATAAAATGCAGGCATTTGCAATATACTAAATTTGCAGAGTCTGGAGCCTCTTAGGAATTAGCAGGTCAAGGCCGTCCTCTGTAGCCAACTCCACGTCATGGCCCCGCCCCCCCCTTCCTGTGATAGCTCTCAGACTCTGTCCGAAGTCTTTGAAGAGAAAGGAAGGTTGGAGGTCACCATGGTCGGCCGCTTTATTTCACCTCCACTGCCATTCATTCATTCAACAAGTATTCACTGAGCACCTGCTGTGTGTCACTCACTGCCAATCATGCACTCACCCATTCACCCCGCAAACATGGATGGGGCCTCTGCCGAGAGCCAGATCCCATGCTGCCTGCTGCAGGAGGGCCAGCAATGAATAAAACTCAGCCCTGCCTGGAAGCGCTTCTAATTTAGTTAGGGTCCTGAATGCACAGGCCACTGTGATTTGAGGTCGTGTGTGTTAGGAAAGATACCAGGATCTATGGACCGAAACGAAGAGAGAAGTCACTCCCAGCTGGCAGGTAAGAAAGTTTGCAAGAAGATGCTGTGTGAGACCTGGACCTTGAGGCATGGGTAGGATTTGGACAGGTAGAAAGAGCAGGAGTGGCTGATCAAAGGAGCTGCAAAGAGCCTGGTTCCCCAGGGGGTCCTCCTGCCTGCTGTGTAGGGGAGGTGCACTGCCAACAAAATAAAGGGAGGTGAGGGGTGGCAAGAGAACTGTAGGGGTGAAAGGTCTGAACCTTTGTTATTTTGTTGGTCCCCTTAGGTTCTGAGGTTTGGCACCCCATCTGCAAACAGGCAGCCCGAGCAGAGAAGAAGTTAAAGGTAAGCAAGCTGGTAGAAATACCAGACCACACTTCTTGCCTCTGGTGGGGGGCACTGTACTTTAGAGGGGGTCTTTCCTTAACACGCACCCTCCCAGATGCATGCCCATATCACTAGATTTCCTTCATGGGAACACCTGCCTCATGGCGCATTTGAGGGGATAAAGACATGGGATGTGAGAGCACTTTGAAAACTGTCAAATTGTGAGGTTTTAGCATTTCTGGGGCCAGGCCTTCGTCTTAGTGTTGCTCACCAAGACGGTGGCCTCGTTGAAGCCAGGATGGAGACATGCTGGGGGTTTTCCCCAGCCTCATGTCATGTATTAGGAAGAATAGAGTTGACGGTGGGCACTGACAGTTTGTAAGGCGTCTTCACAGCCACTGTCTGATTTGCTTCCTTTAACCCCATGGATCAGATGGCGCAAGGCATTGTATGTTCTCTTTGCTGGTATGAAAGTCACAGTCTAACAAGGATGGTGGTTTGCCCACAGTAATGCAGCAGGCAGAAACACAGCCAGTGTCCCTAGGCACGCGCCAGGCCACCTGCGGTCCTGTGTCCCTCTGAATTACTGTGCTCTGACTAGTCCCAGGAAGTCCTGTGAATCCGGGTTCTTGATCCAAGGACCGTAGGGAGGAGCCCAGCTCCTGAGTCCTTGACGCTGTGGGGGAGAAAGCCGGGTGCATGCTGGAGACAGGCACTTGATGATATCAGAAGTGCCTCTACCTTTTGCACCTTTTGCACATCAGGAGATGTGCAAATTATACATCAATAGATGTATAATTGATGTATAATTTGGTTTCAGCCATATATTTTTTCCCCCTGTTTCTTCCAAATCCTTTCCATTTAAGATGTATAAAGACCTAATTGCCCTTTCCTTCCTCAATTTCTACCTTTTTGGTGGCATTTCTCAAATTCCATTATCTTTCTACAACCCCAATGCTTTTGCCACTTCCGTGCACCACCTGTGTCATTACAGACTTAATATTCTTCCTGAAATCAACCCACCACTCTTCACTTAAAGGAACTTATTTTAATGTAAATCTTGATATCGCCAAGTGGAAAACCAGTATTACTTACTATAAATAGAAGGTAACCATAAAATACATTCAATGAAAATAAAATGTTTTTTAAAAACAAATCTTAGAAATTCCAGCTGGATGGTGTTGCCTCTATTCTCTTTGTTTAAAAAAAAAAAAATGGGAAATGAACAACAGTGGAGACAGTTGCTAAAATACATCAGCACTAAGTTAAGACCTCCTCCTTGATGTGAGGGAGATGAATGAAATACAATTTTACATTTTACTCTCCCATTCTGCAACTCAGTATCATCAAATGCTCTGCCTAAATTCATCTTGCCAGAGTCACCACCAGTTCAGGAGGCACAGTTTGGGAGACGCTGGCTGTAAAGCCCCAGGTAGAATGCTTTCATTCTAAACTGTGGCCTGAGACATCTGGCAGGCAATGTCGCAGTCCCTCAGACCAGCCCCTTCATGTTACAGATCTCGAATCTGGGATCTCTGAAATCACATAGTTCATTCACTAGGGACTCTTAGTTCCCGGTCTGGTTGCTGTTTTTTTTTTTTTTTTTTTAATTTTTAATGATTATTCCATAATTTTTTTATGTTATGTTCATCCCCATACAGTACATCATTAGTATTTGATGTAGTGACTACATCATAGCCCCTCCTTCTGCCGAGGGAACCATTAACGCCTCATTGTCTTTGTTCAGTGAAAGATTTTTTTAAGCTTATCACTTAGGCTGATGTCAATTTGCAATGGATACACTGTGAAGAATCAGTACTCTCTGCAAATTACAGGAAGTTGAACGTGCTTGTACATTTCACATAAACAAACTGCTAAGGAATGAGTCCCAACCAATTTTATTCAGTTAAAGTAAATACAATATTGGCAGGATAACCCCAAATGAAAAGTTTTATGAATAAATACTTACCTAAAAGGTCAATTACAAATATGTTTAAAAAAAACAAACACAAATCCAAATTCTGTCCAACAGCCTGAAGTCCTGCACATTTCCCATTTCATTCATACTCAGACATTGATTACAAAGGCAGAAAATAAAGAGAAAGTACAGAAAGTTGGCAAGTGTATTTAACCGCGTTGTTGCTGTTCCCTAAAGAGCTGCCTTCCTCCCTGCCTGTCCTCCCCTCCCCACTGGCGGGAGGTGAGGCTTCTCACTCCTTCTGTATCATCTCTCCCACAGCATAGGCGGACGTCCGAAACTTCCATCTCACCCCCTGGATCCAGCATTGGGTCACCCAACCGAGTCATCTGCGTACGTATCGCTCTTCAGCCCCCCAGAGGTCTTTGTTATCCGCAGGTCTGGTTATCTAAAGAGTTTCTAAGGATAGCCGAAGACAGCTGTCAGGTTTTCATCCAACTAACATCTCGTGTGCACCTGTCATGTGCTAGAGACTCTGTGCTAGGTCCCGAGACACAGTGGGGCACAGGGAGGGCCTTGCCTGCATGGAGCACAGAGCCTAGTAAACACAGAGTTATGGGGGATAAGGTCAACTTCAGCTGGAGCACAGGAAAGTCAAAGACAGAAGAGCCCTTGGTGAGCTCTAAAACCAGCACAGCGGGCCTCCTTCCCCACTGCTTAAGTGAGCTAAGAGTGGGACAAAAATCTGGGGTCAGAGTGGTATGCAGAGTGGGGAGTAGGGGGAGATATGGCTGTGTGATAAGGAGGCAACCACAAGCAGGCATCTGCACTCCCCATCCTCAGAGACACTGAAACAGAGACACTCATCATTGCAGAGACATGGAAGAAAGGACAAGAGTGGAGGCAGATGATCTGAGGTCCTTTGGCTATATCATTCATCCATTCAATCATTCATTCATTCATTCATTCATTCAACAAACGTGTGCTAAGTGTCTCCTCTGGGCTAAGTTCTGGCTTCTGTGCTGGAAAACCGTGGTGAACCGCACCAACCTGATGCCCATCCTCGTGACCTTGAATATATAACCCCAAGGAGAAGCAGTCGCAGTTCTGGTATGTGCTAGGAAGGAAAAGTGCAGGGTGCTCGAATGATGCTGCAGAGGGACAGAGGGACAGAAGGACAGGCCATCTAGGGCCACCTGGAAAAAGAATCCTGAGGAAGAAACACTTAAGTTCAGACCTGACAGAGAAACAGGAGTAAGTTAAAGCAGGTGAGGGAGGCAGGGCCAGAGAGGACAGAGACGAGCCAAGGAGATGGGCCATCTGACTGTGGACTGTTCCAGCTTTCCCCAAGCCCCCAGGTTGGAAGGGCCAAGAAGACCAAAGCTGGGGAGAGGGGATGGAGGGAGGGGAATGGTCTAGAGCAGGAAGACGGCTCCTGATTAAAAGTTCTAGATACAGTCCCCAAACCAGCCAGCCCTGGGTGGGCCCTGGCCACCATCGCTCCATTATTATTTTACCCCAAATCCACATCTAGTTTCCTCCTTGATCCCTGGATAATGCCCACTAATGGAGCTGTTTCCTTTCCTTTCTTCCTCTGTTCAAATGAAAATCCGACATAAGAGTTATCACTGACAGCAACTTCCATGTGGTCAATACTGCCTTGCGGCTCGCACAGAAGACAAGCTCTTTGATCACAGGCCGTCCTCATTGAAGATTCCTGTCCAGAACAAGACAGATGATTAGCGCCGCCACCCCCCGCCCCCGACCCGGTGCTATGAATGGGGCCAGACACAGCAGGATTAATGAGCTAGATTTCAGGGTCTACACAGTGAGAAGGTTATTAACAAACTGAGCGTGTCTCCAGGAGAGTTATTAGGATATGCAAACTTGGGAGATATAGATAGATGATGACAGATAGATAGATATGGCAGTTCTCTAAGATCAGCTCCGTAGAGACGAACAAGGGCAGCCGGGCACACCTGCCACTGGGCCGTCCATCTGGGGCTCGCACACCAAGCTCAGCGACCCGCGCGTGCTGGCAGAGGCAGGCGTCTCCCCACTCATACTCTCCTTTCTTGCCTTTTATAACGGCTCACCTTCAGCCGCTCTGGGGAATGACCCCACAGGTCACAGGGGCCGTATTTTATTTTATTTTTTTTTTATTTTTTTTTTTTAAAGATTTTATTTATTTGACAGTCAGATATTACAAGTAGGCAGAGAGGCAGGCAGAGAGAGAGAGGCAGGAGGAAGCAGGCTCCCTGCAGAGCAGAGAGCCCGACGCGGGGCTCGATCCCAGGACCCTGGGACCATGACCTGAGCTGAAGGCAGGGGCCCCAACCCACTGAGCCACCCAGGCACCCCTACAGGGGCCGTATTTTAAATCAAACCATTCTAAAGGTGGCTTCCAAACTCAGGGAAGAAACCAGCTGACCACTTTCAGGACACACAATAACAAGCAAAGAGAGAGAGTGTGCGTGTTTGTCTGATTTTCATAAATGCTGAGGTTTGGTGTTAAAATAGAATCATCAGTGAATGGGGTGGGGGGCAGGTCTCTCAGACTTTGCCCCACCCCCCCACTGATGGCTAGAACCATCTTCGGGAGGTCTGACCTTGAACCAGCTCCACGTGTTCTCTTCCTTCCTGCTTGCCTAATTATGTCAGGAAGCCTCTGTCCAGTCATTGTGCCTCCAAACCTGAGGCTCATTTTTAACCCCATGAACACAGTGGCTATAAGAGCAAATATAAATATAGTATTTTTGAGGTTTGGACCGAAGCGCTGAGATGACTATTGATGGGTCAAGACAAGTTTGCAAGATGCCAAGAGCTCTCAAGGTCAAGATCTAACATCCCACGACAAAAGGCAGCAAGGGGACCATCCTAATAAAGTTCCCTTGACCCACACACCCCCAAATTGGCACAGACATGATGTCTAACCCGGGCAGGCTCTGGCAGAAATGAGATAGCACCCTTCTAAGGGTTTTACTGAAGATGGTTTTGTGAAGCGACCACTTACAGAGGTGTAGGTAGGGTTAGGGGACCCACAAGACATCGTGTGGCATCCAGAGTCTACAAAAGCAGGAGCTGTCACCACCCTAGGCCTAAAGAGAATGTCCAGTGAAAGCCAGAGCTGTGAAATGCAGCCCCGGATGCGAGCTATGCCCACCGTGGCTGCTGATGGCAGGACAGTGGGAGGGGACAGTGTCTCTCTCTACCACTCCCAGTGTGCAGGTGCCCCCCACTGGCCCAGCCCAGCAGAAAGCCAGGGAGCCTCTGAAGCAGTCCATGGGCCTCGGAGCCCAAATCAGGGAGAGGAGGAACGGATGGTGGATCTAGGAGCAACGGAGAATGAGCATCACAGTGTCCAAACAACAGGGGGCTGGGACAGGGACAGAATGGTGGAAGGACCTTGGAATATGTTTCGAATAGCAATGCTTGTAAGGGCTTTATGAAAGTTACTCTCTCTACAGTAGTTTTGGGCTTGAGACTCACCTGAGCCCCCAGGCACCAGAAGAATGTTATTTGGATAAATACAGTTTCCTTGGAGTCTCTGTCTGGTGGCCTCTCAATTTCTCTCACATCAAGATCTTGAAAGTCACAGCAGTGGGGACAGATCCTGGCTGACCATAGCAGAAGCCAGGCACAGAGGGAGCAGCTGGAGGGTGCCAACATGGAAAGGACAGGGCTTCAGGAGCCACGAGAAGTGGTCTGCCCCATGCAAGGGAAACTGTTTCTTAATCCATGCTGTTCTAGAGGACTGGGCTCAGCCAGGGTCAGGTAACAGCTAGAGGCTTGTGTCAGTTCGATATAGGGTCTGCTTTCTGAGTGCAGCCCTCTGCCAGCTGTAGACAGTGAGCTCCCCACCCTGTAAAGCCAACAGAGGCAGCTGGGAAGGCAAGTCCTAAGGCTAGGCGGGCTGGGCTTGGATTCTGATTTTGCTACTTATTAGTTGTGTAACCATGGGCAAATTCATTGACTTCTCTGTGCCTGTTTCCTTATTCAGAAAAGAAGATGGTATTAGTGCCTGCTAGTAGCACTGTGAGTTGTATGAGCTAAGGGAGTTAATCCCTACCAGGGACTTCAGAGTCTGGCTCATCGTAAGTGCTCACCAAACATGAGCTCAGGTTTCAACTCTCTGTCTTCACCATCACCTTCAAGGAGCTGGGAGTGAGGATGTCCTCCCCGCATGGGTTCGGAAGGCAGTCCCCACCAAGGCTGGGTAGTTCAGACAGATTCAGACCTACTGGCTAAGGGGCACCAAACGCAGAACCGTCTGAGCTTCACCTGGAAAACAGTAATAACATTGACACTGACCTCACAGAGCCATCAGGACACTTGGAGGAGATAATTCCTGCAAAGTGCAGGGTCTCACACATAAAATGCACTCAACCAGTGTGAGCCCCCTTGGAAGGGAGGGCCTCTAAGACCTGCCGGGTTCTAATATTCTGTGCATCTTCCGTCCTAATATTCTGTTTTTAGTGGAAACTGGAGAAGCTCGTTTCCCCTGTGCCTGGTTTTTGTTTCCTCTCCTTTCCCTCTTATCTCTCTGCCTCTTTCCTGTACCTCTCCTCCTCCCCAGGCTAAAGTGGATAATGAGATCCTTAATTACAAAGACCTGGCAGCTCTCCCCAAGGTTAAGTCCATCTACGAGGTACAACGCCCCGACCTCATTTCCTACGAGCCTCATTCCAGATACACGTCCGACGAGATGCTGGAGAGATGTGGCTATGGAGAGGTATGGGGTCTCGCCCCTCTCCCCGGGTCTGTTGGAGGAGAGAAGGCCCGCACGGTCCCCATCACTCCATCACACACACTTTGGCCTCCACAGTGTCAGCCCCTGCACTCTTTTAAACAGGAAGTTAGAGTCATCATTTAAAAATCGAGTGATTTCATCCAAAAATCTGGCTTTTCTTAAAAAATCAGAGCAGGTGTCTTTCCATTATTTGGAGTGGGGGGAAGAGCGCCTCCTTTAGGCAGGACATGGGCTCCCCATTTCTCCCTACTTGCCACCACCCCGAGAACCCCAGCATTGAAGCCACAAACCTGTGACTGCTTATCACTTGAATTACTGTTTTTCTCCTAGTGGAGTAATTTTATACGTGGCCCACGGCTTTCATCCCTGACAGGCTCAGTGGCCACTTAGGTTTATAATCCCTGGTGTGTAGGTTCTCTGGGTTTTGCACCTGGCCTTAAGCCCCTATACTCAAAGCAAGAGACGCTTTTTAAGAACTCAGCAGTTCTGAGTTCTTCTGAGTTTTCAAAAGCCAGCTTTTGAAAGAACTAAGTGGTTGCTGGACAAGAGAAAGTGTTCTTTGGAGAAGGCAGGTGACCATTACCCTGAAGGTCCTGGCAGGCTGTATCGCAGGTGAGTCCTCACCCCATTCAGGGCCTCTGAGCAGAGATTGATGAAAGAAGGAGCCCTGGCCTGGGGAGCAGGGACCTGGGTTCTTGTCCCCACTCCACCGCTGTCCCCTTCCTTTCTAAAGGAGTTAGCGTTCATTTGGTCGGAGAGCCCAATGCTGAGAGTCTCGGGGCTCTGGCCCCTGAAATAGACCAGGGAGGGGGGACCAGCTAGAGACTGATGTCACTGAAGCCAGAAATGGCACACTGGGCCCACAGGCCAAAGCCAACTCCCAGATTTGTTTTGTTTCACTAAGTATCTTTTCTTTCAAAAATGTAAATTAGTTTCCAACATTTAAACATGCCGAGATTTCACATAAGAACCTGCATTTCTCACTTGTCTTGGAAATGGAAAGAGTGGAGTTAACATGGGGGGCTGAGCAGCCACTGCCCTCTGCAGACGGGATGCTCCACCTCCAGCCCACCACACCGCCCACTGGCCCAACTCCCACATGGACAGCAGCAGCCCAGGCCTTGGTTGGCCCAACCTGCGTGTCCCCAGCCCTGCACGTTGTCCTCATGAACCACAGAGTAGTCACGAACTGGTAGACAGGATCACGAAATGGCTCTGAGTGTGTGATAGAGAATCCTGGGTCCAAGTGGAGACCCCACCACATTGTACCCAAGAGTCCCCAGGACACCCCGTTCCCTCTCTGGGCCTCAGTTTCCCATTGGTACATGAAGGGCGTGATCTCAGGTCTCCCTGTTACGTGTTGGCACTGCTGGCGTTCCAGCACGCTCGGCGCGACTGCTGTCTGGGGAGGAGGCCCCAAGCAGCTGCTGGCCCATCTCCGCTCCGCTGCCTAACCCCTCTTCCTCTCTCCCTCCTCTCTCTCCTCTGCTCCTTTCACGATGGCCTTCCAACTCTTCGCTCCTAAGTCGCTGGGAACATTATCTCCCTACTCCCAGGTAACGGGGTTAGTTTGGGGAGGACTTTTCTATACTTGGGTCCCTTTAGGCAGACCAAGCAGACCCCCAGTTTCACTGCCCCCACCCAGCACCCCGGTGTGCCCCTGACCAGGGCACAGACGGCAGAATTAGGAGCATAACCTGGAGGAAGTAGCTGTGGCATAAACAGTAGAGGAAGTGCCTTTTCTACCCAAAGGGAGCCTCCCTGGCGCTCCTGGAATCCTTGACCCACGGGTTCTATTCAAGAGACTCTGAGTGATGGGCAAAGGCCCCAAAACTTGTCTGCAGCTTTCCTCGGGCTATGTGTGTAACCCAGGAAGGGGGCCTTGGTATTTGGAAGGGCAGCACCATGAATTTTGGATCCTCAGCCCCCCAGAATCCTGGATTCCACATCACAGCCCCACCTGCCTGCTAGACACTTGGGCCACAGGCTTGCTTAATTGCCGGTCTGGCTCATGGCCCACTTCCTCTCCCAGGACATCTACGAGAACCTGGACCTCCGACAGAGAAGGGCCTCCAGCCCAGGATACATCGACTCTCCCACCTACAGCCGGCAGGGCATGTCCCCCACCTTTTCCCGCTCGCCTCACCACTACTACCGCTCCGGTAAGGAAGGGGGAAGCCCCCAAAGGAACAAGAAGAACCAGGGGGACCACACAGTGGCTGGCTGTTGCCCACTGCAGAGACAGCCCAGGGCTTCCCCCAGGATCTCCATCACAGCTGGCCCTCTGGAGGTCGGTGACCACCCAGAGGACCAGCCAGGCCTAACTGACGTGCCCCTGGCGGGGGGAGGGGCACCCGGAGTTGAGAAGCAGCAGGAAGGTGGGCGGTAAGCAGCCAGGAGAGGAGAGTGGCAGACAACCCAGCAGCCCTGGCTGGAAGAAGCCTCCTCTGTCCTTGTCCCTTGGCCTGCCCCATCCAGAGGGCTGGAGGACTGGACACAGGCCCAGCCTTACCCCATTCGATCAGGTCATCCACAGCCACATTGAGGTCAGGGATGAAGCAGGTGTTTGGGTGGAGGAAAGAAGCAATTGAAGGGGGGAGGGGAGCCAAGGGGTCCATAGGCACCTTCCTGAAGCCCAGTGGAGTGGACGCTTATGGCCCACGAACTCTGACTTTTGGGGTGAGGCCAAAAAAGAAGGTCGAGCTTGTATCCGCAGACACGGTGCATGAGAGCACAGCCCCCCCGCTGCCATCCCTGCTGTCATCACGTCACTGCTGCCTTAACTGCCACTGCGGTAATGCCTGTTTTCTCTGTGCCTCTGTTCTCTCTGGGGACCACTGCCTGCGCGCTCTAGGGCCCGAGAGTGGCCGGAGCTCTCCATACCATAGCCAGTTAGATGTGAGGTCCTCCACTCCGACCTCTTACCAGGCTCCCAAGCACTTTCACATCCCAGGTAGGCTGTCAGCCCGCAATTCCCAGCATGGGTGCATGCTAAATGGGGTCGCCGGGTGCCGGCACCGGCAGCGAGGAGAAGCCAGTCCCTGGGACCCTCCCTAACAGTCCCCCACACTAACCCTCCCCTCGGTCCCCACACACCTGTGGGCTTTAGTCTACCCGCTTGACACAGCCAGCCCCGACCAAGCCGGCCCGGAAGCAGCCAGAGAAGGGCCTCGACTGTCTGAGAGCCTTGAGGGGACGCAGCAGTAACCATGCTGAAAGTCACGTACTTTTGCATCAGAATTCTTGGGACCAAATCCCCATTCCCCCACTTGGAAGCTTGCAACCTTGGGCCAGTTCCTTAAATTCCCTGAGGCTTTCTGTTCTCTCTGTATAGCCCAGCACTGTTCTGGGCCCTGAGGCTGCAAATGTGCTCAAACTAGCCCAGATCCTTGCCTTCATGGTGTTTATACATGGGGAGAAAGTTAATAAATGAGTACACAAACAAGTAAAAGGGTAATTTCAGGTAAATGATGTGGGCAGTAAACATAATAAAACAAGGCATGTGATAGAGTGATTGGGGTGGGGAGGCTGGGCTAGGCAGGGTGGTCAGGAAGGGCTTCTTGGAGGAGGTAGCATTGAGGCGGAAAGATGAGAAGGAGCCAGCCATGTGAAGATCTTGGGAAAACATCCTGGGCAGAGGGCATAGCAAGGGCAAAGGCCCTGGAACACTGAGCTGGTAGCAGTCCAGCATGGCTGGAAGTGGTGAGCAGGAGGGCGAGTGATAGGAGAGAAGGGAAAGGCAGGGGCTCAGTGACACTGTAGATGGTCTGGACAAGGTCTCGCCCTGAGTTCACTAGAGCTGGGTCTGGAACCTGGTCTTTCAACTCTGAGCTCAGAATTTCACTCCCCACTCACTTTTCCCCAGGATCGCATCCTGCTGTTTCATCCGTACCTTTCTCAACTGCCCCAGAAAGGTCCCATCCTGTCTGTTTTTGAGGGAGAGGGCGGCGGATCATGCGGAATGGGCGGCTGCGGCATTCTGGGGACTTCCATGTGGAATGAGGCGTTGCTGCTGGGTGGAAGCAGGGGGCACCTTCGTGCATGGGGTCCTGCTGAGCGCGCACCGCCTCGTGCATGCATGCCCACCATTCAAGCCCGAGTCCCTTCCTCAGCACCGTTAAAAGCCATCCATTCCTCTCCCCTCACCTTTCTTAAAACCTCACGCCTTGAGGTGGGAAGTTGAGTTTTGGAAGATCGTGTCCACCAAGGAAAGATAGTGGACCTTCGGGAAAGATGGGGACAGCCTCTCTTTCTGAGATCAGCTGACCAACTCCTGTCTCCTTCCTCTTCTCTCTCTCTCTCTCTCTCTGTTCCTCTCTGTCTCCTCCCCATCGTCAATTCCTTGCCTGCCTGGCAGCTGGAGAAAGTAACATCTACCGGAAACCCCCGATCTACAAACGGCATGGTACGGTCTGGGCAGAGAGGGCGTGGCCAGACAGGGGGCGGGGCCATTAGCCACCTGTGCGGATGGTCTGCCGGGGTCACCAGGAGGGATGCCTGCGAGGCTGCAATTCTGTCTCTCTTGGGGGCTATGCCCCAATCACTTGAGGTGACACTGGGAAGGCGTTTGGTGTCACTTCAAAGGAGCAAGGAAGGCCTCGTGTCCCCTAAATGTTTCCCCACCTCCTTTCCAACCGCCCTTCCCTGCTGTCTGGTGTCCTAAATTCCAGGCGCAGAGCAACACTTGTCAAATGCGCGGACCACTGGGAGCACTCCCAGGCGTGGCTGCTCAAACTTTGACGGTCGTTGGAATCATGTGGGATGCGTACAGATTCCTGCGCCCCAGCCCAGACCTACTGAATCGCAATTTTGTGTTTGTAACAGTTTCTCCATGTGATTCCAAAGCCCGCCCCGACTTGGAAACCGCTGCTTTAAGCTATTCTCAGTCACAGTGTCCTGAGAGTAAATGAAGGCTTGGGGAGGAGACATGGATAAGAAAGGAGTGGGGCTTCGATAAGGGTGCCGTCATTCTTCCATTCATTCATTCAATGTTTCCTCGAGAATGATCTATAGGCCCCCCCACCCCGTACCTGAGAGACTTAAAAAGCAGGTGCCCTGGCCCCTCCTCTGTCCTAGACTTTCATATTAGAAATACTGGGAGTGTGAGCTAGGAATCTACACGGGAACTGGCCTCATTCATGATTCCTACCTGCACTCCATATGAGAAGCACCAAGTCAGGCAGCACCAAGACCCCCGGTTCCTTCTTGCAAAGGCACTTACTGAGCCTCAGCAGACAAAGCACACCCCTTGCCTCTGGGATGCAGAGAGGCGGCGGCTACCCTGTGTTGCCCTCCCTGCAGGTTACCTGGGCAACCGAGGGGAGCACACAATGGGAGAAGCACAGAAACACGGGTGGAAACAGTCCAGGACTGGAATCTGAGCTCACTGAGCTGATTCGAGGGGGGGGTGTTCTACCAATATAAATGATGACTCTGGCTTAAGACCTGACAATTTAGACAAAAGTCCTCGGTTTCAGAGGGGCCCAGGCTGGGCTCCAGGTGAGTCTGTGAGCACGTGCATATCTCTGTGTGGCTGTGGGGTACAAGCCATGCACCCCGAGGGTCACAGAAAGGTACTGACCCTGACAAAGCCAATTTGTCCAGGAGAAGGCCCCCAGGTCTGCTACGCCTCAGGAATGTGTGTGAATTCTCCAGATGGGCTCTGAGGAGCAGCACCGGAGCAGGCTCAGGACGAGTTTGGAGTGGGGGTATAGACTGCATGGATCAGTGGGCACATAAAAAGGCTGAATGGCATCCATTGGGGGGTAGGAACCGCCCAAGACCCAGGTCTAAGAGAATCTGCAAGCTCTAGAAGTTTTGGAAGCCAGTGCTGCAGGGGAAGGGTGCAGAGGCAGGAGCTGGCAAAGGGCCAAACCCAGACCCCTCTGCTGCTCTGTCAGTACGGGGTGTGGGACTGTCACTTCTCTCCTGAGAAACGTCAGGGGCCCGCTTGTTTCCCCAGCCCTCTCTCAGCCCTAGTCATCCTCTTGCCTGGCTTTGGGCAGGGCTAGAGTCGCTGCCCTGTCAGGATTGTGTCTGCACTAGGCCTGATGGTCCATGTTGTGGAAGCTTGAAGCTGGGTGGCACTGGATCCAGCAGACCGGTTCAGACACTTACAGATAAGGAAACTGAGGCCAAGAAGGGTGGGATGTGCCCAGTGTTACAACTAAGTTCAGTGGCAGAGCAGGAGCCAGAACCCAGCACTGCTGATTCACTGTCCAATATTCCTTTCTTTGGGATGTATTGCCTCTCTAGACAAGGTCTGGCATTTCAGTGTGAGGAGAAAGTTGAGAGGCCACATGGCTCTCCTTGGCAATTCCCACCCTAGGTACGGCTCAAATCCCAGACGAGGCAGGCTTTTAGAAGCTGAGGAAGGTAAGGGCCCAGGATCACCTGAGACCCGTCTAATCTTACTTGGAGGAGTCATGGCCCTAGTGTTCACTTGGGAACAGACCTGGGAGTCCATGGGATGTGGTAGCAGGAGCCCTGAGCTGGGGTCTCGTTCAAGTCTCGTCTACTTGCTGTGTGGGCTTTAGCAAGCCCCTTCCCCTCTCTGGCATCCAGAGTCCCAGCTGTAACATGGGGGGCTGGGCCTTGGGGCTTTTCCAGCCCTGATGCTCCGTGTCCCAGACCCTGGCCCCAAAGTGTCCTCACCCTCCTGGGCCAGAGCCTGGCTGGGACAGATAAACAGTGTACAGCACACTTTTCTAGGACACTCTGCTTCCCTGAAGCTCTTCCCCTTGTTTCCTTTGCAGGTGATCTGTCAATAGCAACCAAGAGCAAAACGAGTGAAGACGTCAGCCAGGCCTCCAAGTACAGTCCGGCCTACTCCCCGGACCCCTACTTTGCTGCAGAGTCCGAGTACTGGACCTACCATGGGTCCCCCAAAGGTAATGTGCCCCACAGAGGAGCCTGGACCAGAGCCTTGTCACCCACGCCAGGGACACAGGGTTAGGACGGCAGCCCCCTCCTTCCACGATCGTTGATTTATTCATTCATTTAGCAAACATGTACTGAGGGCCAGCCTTGGGATCTAGGGAATCACTAGGAAGCAAAATAGACCAGGTCCCTGCCCTTGTGGAGGAGATCTAGATTCCGGCTGGAGAGGGAGGTAAGGTGCAGGAAGGAGGTGACACACGAGAGGTGGGAGACGATGGCAGGGGCATGCTGTCTAGCCCGGAATGTGCCGAAAGCTTCTCAAAGTAGAGACAACTGTCCCAGGAAGAGTGGGGCAGAGGTGGGCCAGCAGAGGACAGAATCACACCTGCAAAGCCCCCAGGTGGGAGGGCAGCTTCCACTGGAGGAAAGGAAAGGCTGTCAGGTTAATGGGGAGCCAGAGAGAGGGGGAAGCAGGTGAAGGATGAGGGGCTAGATCCCACGATGCCTTGTGCCCTAAAGCAAGGATTTGGGTCTCTCTCCTGAACAGTAGGAAGCCACTGAAGGTGACAGGGTCAGGTGTGGGGGTTTAAGACCTCACTTTGGCTATGGGGTGGAAATCGGTTTGGAAGATAGAAAAGGCAGTTTGTATGAATGGAAGACTTTCGTAGACACCCTGCTGGGGTCTTCATGGTCCTTGAGGCCATCCCACCCAGTTGGGCATCTTGAGCTGTTTCTTTCAAGCACAGGGAGTGCATTTCCATCAAGCTCCTTTTTGATTCAGCACACAACCTGTCCTAAATGAATGTCCATTCTGAGCAAATCTTCACAGGAGCTCAGAGATGGTCCCTTCCTTGCCCTCAGAAGAGTCTGCATTGGGAAAAGGAGCTAAGACACAAGCACAGCTACCCCCGAAGTAGACAGTCTGTCCCTGGGGTAGCTTCATTCTCAGGTTGGCCCTGCCCCAGTCATGGCAAGATGAGCTCCAGCCCATCTAGGCTTCTGTCCTACCCAGGACAAAAAGAGGTCTTCTCTCTCCCACCAGCGGCAGCCAAAGTCCCAACATCGAGACTCATGAGCCATGTTGGGGTAATCAGTTTCACCTGCTCCTCACACCCAAGATTGGGAAGGGCTTCTGGGCCCCTCCATACAGGCAACCCCTGGCAGAGGGGTGGTTCCCCAAAGTACACTCATTCAGGGCCACTCAGCTAGAAAGGAAGCCCCCACCTGTAGAGTCTCGGCGTCCCTCCGTGCCCTCTGTCGGGGGCAGGCTGAATGAGGAGCACAAACAGGAGCTGATCCTAGCTGTCCTTTGGCAGCGGCCCGAGCCAGAAGGTTCTCATCTGGAGGAGAGGAGGAGGACTTTGACCGCAGCATGCACAAGGTAAGCAAGCTTCACCTGGACGAGATGAGGGTCTGATGATCACTTGCTGGTGACTGAAACCAAATTCAAACCCACTTACGGTAGAAAAAAGAAACATGTAGCTTTGCATAACCAGAAAGTCAAACAGTAGGAGGAGTTTCAGGTATGGCTGGATCCAGCTGCTCAGCAAACTGCCTTAGGAAAGCTGTCTCTCTCTCCTCCTGGGCTGACTCACTGCTGCGTTGGCCTCATGCTCATGCAGGCTCTCCATGCTGGCAAGTGGCTGCCAGCAGCGTTCATGCACTGCTGGTTAGGAGTGGAAAGTGGTACAGTCACCGGGGAAAATGGTTTGGAGGGTCCTCAGAAAGTTAAACACAGAACTACCCTATGACCCAGCAATTGCCCTCCTGAGGATTTACCCGAAAGAAATGAAAACCAGGCCTCAAACAAGCACATGTCCTTGATCTTCCCAGAGGCACTAGTCACAAGGGCCAAAAGGGGGAAGCGCTCAAATGTTCACCCGCCCACAAATGGAGACGCAAAATGCGGTACATCTGTATAATGGACTGTTAGCCAGACATAAAAAGGAATGAAGGATGGGTACAGGCCACAAGGTGGACAAACCTTGAAGACATTATGTTGAGGGAAAGAAGCCAAACACAAAAGCCCACATATGGGCTGATTCCATTTATACGACATGCACAGAATAGGTAAAGCCACAGAGCCAGACACAGACTGGTGACTACCAGGGCCTGGGAGGGGAGGGAGAGAGGGAATGACAGTTTACTGGGTCCAGGGTTAATTTGGAGGGGCGGGTGGCTTAAAACTGTTTGGAACTAGACAGAGATGGTGTTTGCACCAAATGCAACTGAAGTGTTTAGTCCAAAGTAGTTAATTGTATCTGATGTGAATTTCACTTCAATAAAAAATGTTTTTAAAAAGATGTGTGCTAGGAACAGCAGCTAGAGTCCCAAGGAAGACCCTCCCAGGCACATCTGGAGCCTTCTTCCCACCTGCCATGGGCCACGCGGGCTTTTGGTGCCTTCCACCAGACCCACCTCCCCTCCCCAGCCCACAGAACCACTTGTCGAAGAGAGGCGAAGTCCCAAAGGAAGCTGTGAGGCCGTAGGGAGGGAGGGACTCTGGGAAGGCAAGAATGACAGAGGTTCCCTGGAATCTGGCCACCCAGCCTCTGACCTTACCCTGTTCTGTTTCATGTTCTCTGCTTCCTTCCCACTTTCTCTTGTTCCTCCCGCATGCCCAGCTCCAGAGCGGAATCGGCCGCCTCATTCTGAAGGAGGAAATGAAGGCCCGGTCCAGCTCCTACACGGATCCCTGGACCCCACCCCGGAGCTCCACCAGCAGCCGGGAGGCCCTGCACACGGCTGGCTATGAGATGTCCCTCAATGGCTGTAAGCTCCACCCTGGAAGTCTGCCGGGCTGGGGCCCTCTCAACTCCCTCAAAGAGTCTGAACTATGGCCTTGCTTGGGTCTAGCATATGGACTTGGTGAGGTGATGTATGGGGCACTAAGTAAGACCATATTCTGCCAAGAGCAGGCACCTGTTTCTTTGGGGCATCTGAAAGCTGTGACTTGAAGTCAGGTTCGGTGCAAAGGAAAATGTCTTCTAATTGTCTGAATGGCTCAAAGATATAAGGGACTGGCTCTTGAGGTAGTGAGCCCCACATCACAGGAAGTAAACAAGTGGAAGCTTGGTGCAAGAACTCTGCCCAGAGATCCTCTCATTTGTAAACTTCTCCCTGTTTCTGGACAAACATATGCTTCCCTCCCTTTCTTACCCCTGTGGGAGTCAGTCCTGCTGGGAAATCCTATCTTAACTCCATGAGATAGATAATCCTTATTACTCTTGGTCCTCACAAAGACTGGCAAGTAGAGGGATTATTATCACCCACTTTATAGATGAGAGACTGGAGTTTACTACTTATCCAAGGTCAAAATCTGGTAAATGACAGAGCCAGGATCAGGCCCAAGTCAGAGGGACTCCAAGGCCATAAGCATTTCCCTCTTTACTGTACTGCATCTTGACTTGAGCTGAGATGGAAGATGATGGTGATGGTAAAGACAACAAAGCCAGTTTCATTGAAGGTTTTGTATGTTGTCGAACACTGTGCTAATACCTCATGGTATTATGTGTCTTGTATTCTTCCCAATAACCCTATAAAGGAGGTACCATCTCTCTTCATTTTACTATGAGAAAACCAAATCATGATTAAGTTATGTATAGAAATTATGGCAGAGCCAGGCTAAATTGATGAGCCTGTTTCCCTGTTTGACCACTGAGGCACGCTGTTTTCAGTCCCTGGCTCTGGGCTCTGTGCAGTGCACCAAGGCGGCTCAAAGTCCAGTTCTGTTCAACGGCATCTGTATAGCAAATACCAGAGAGCACCCGCTTGCTTTGCACCAGGTGCTCGAGGCAGGGGAGAGAAGATGCGGCACAGGTGCGGCAACTGGAAACTGACCAATAAGACAGGAGGTAGTGAAGGAGGCCCCTCCTCTCCACCAGCTAGGGTAGCCCAGGAATGGGAGCCATGTCTGTTTGTCCCCATTAACTTTCCACCATGTCCATCTGTCCCCCTGAAAGCTGATCTCTGGCTTTTTTCTCTTGCAGCCCCTCGATCCCACTACCTTGCTGACAGCGGTACGTTCCGCCTGCCCTACCCTCAGCCTCTCGCGTCCTGTGACAGCCAGAGCCGAGCTGGTTGCAGGTCCTCTGTAGCTGAGTTGTCCCAACACAGTCCTGATCTCATATGGTCCACTCCATGGTGTTTGTCAGACCTGGGCCTCCATCTTTGGCCCGGGAGCCAGGGTTGCCATACCCAATAGATCCCAGAGAGAAAGAACATGTGTCTCTTCCACCCACCTGAGAGTCTGCCTGTCTGGGCTCTGAGATCAACTCCAAAGCCAGGACCTTTGTGAAGCCACCTGTGGCCAGGACACAGGGGTTCATCACAGGACCATAGATGTGTGCAGGTTGAGGCCAGGAGACTGCACGCATGGGCTTCAGGGGGGCCTGGAGTTCTGCCCTGGCGAGGCATCCCTGAGACGGTCAGTTGTTTGTAGAGCAGGGGGAAGAGCCTGTGGCCTCCACCCCTTCTAACCTCCCATGGAGTCGGGGAACAGTACTGGCCATGTGCAGCTGGACAGCCTCCGGGAAAGGGACCCCTGGCTTGGGACTCCTTTGAATTGTTTGGCTATTTCTTTTCAGACCCCCTCATCTCCAAATCCGCCTCCCTGCCTGCCTACCGAAGGAACGGGCTACACAGGGTAAGAGAGGCTGTGCTGAGACATCGCTCCCAAGATGTTGGCAATGCCGGCATTAGCTCCACACGCTCAGAGCCTAGACATGACTTTGGCTCATGCAACAGATATTTGCTGAAAGCTTTCATATACTCCGGGTACTTGGAATACATCAGTGACCCCTGCCCCTTGGAGCTTCTATTCTTGTAGAGAGAAACAAAAAGGAGATAGTAAATAGTATGCGAGTCACACTAGACAGAATGTAGAAGATAACAATGTGCTAAGGAAAAAAAAAAAAAAGAAGGAAAACTAGCAGGATAAGGATTGGCAGTTTGGGGCAGGGGGCAACTTACAATTTTATGTATTTATTTATTTTTAAAGATTTTATTTATTTATTGGAGTGAGAGCGCGCACGAGCAGGGAGGAGGGGCAGAGGGAGAGGAAGAAACAGGCTCCCTGTTGAGCAGAGAGCCTGATGCAGGGCTCGATCCCAGGACCCTGAAATCATGACCTGAGCTGAAGGCAGATGCTTAACTGACTTAGCCACCCAGGTGGCCCTTGTGATTTTAAATGGAGCTGCCAGGGCAGTTTTCATAGGAAAAGTGGTACTAGAGCAGCAAAAGAAAGCATGAAATGTAGTTCACCAAGAAATGTCTATTTCTTGAGTACCAAATGCGTGCCAGCCCTAGGCACCAAGGATGTGGCCGCGAGTAAGTTCACCCTGACTTGAGACCGAGGCTGCTCTGAGAAGGACCACGTCCCATCCATCCCGGGGCCATATACGGGAGGTGGGGGAGTGCTTCAGGGAGGCAGCTATGAGCTTGCTCAGGCCAGCCCTGGCTCTGTCTCCCCTGCAGACACCCAGCGCAGACCTCTTCCATTATGACAGCATGAACGCCGTCAACTGGGGCATGCGAGGTGAGTGCCAGCCTCTCCTGGGACTCGCAGCAGCTTTGGGCGCCCTGCTCATAACTGTGGCTTGACCTTCCACCAATAGTCACTACAGATTCTGGCCCCCATGCTGGGCTCGGTCCAAACCCCGAGTTCCCACACTCCCTTTCACTTCCCATTCCCTCCCTTTTCCCCTCCTCTTCCCTCATCCTCTCGAGTCCCTGGCCTTGGGTGATCTCCAGGCCATCTGTCCCATCTGGGTTCCCAGAGCCATTGCAGAGTCGTACTGCTGAGCTAGAGTTGCCTGCCAGCCCCGGGTGGAGGGAAACACTCAGAGCCAAATGCACATTGTTCCCGGCAAATGTTCCATGAGCTTCATGCTCTCTGCCAGTGACAGTCCCCTGCCGGCCTCCCCGCCAGCTCCTACAAGCAGGCTCAGGCAGGAGGACAAGCCTACATCAAAACACAGGAGGACTCCTCCGGAGGATGGAAGACCTTGCCCAAGTACTTCACAATCTCAGAATCTTCTTATTTCTATTCTAATTACCTCAAAAGTCATTTTTGTTCTAAAACCCTATATCTGGCTCAGCCCAACCCCTCTCTCCAGCCATCCACTGTGCTCCTACCAGGCTTGATTCAGGGTGAATTCGACAAGGAGCCTCTAAGACCAAGGCTAGTGTCATGATGCAAAGCAAAAACCAATGTATTTCCATTTTGTGTGTCTCTCTTTTCTCTCTGCAGAGTACAAGGTAAAGGAGATACAGAGACACTGGGGGTCCCATCCCAGATGCTGCTACATTGGGACCCAGCAGGAAGATGTCAGCACTATCTACTCAGGGAAGGGATATCAAATAAATAACCTCAAGGTTCCTCTTCAGGCCAGCGTTTCCAGCCCCTCTTTGGCCTCCTTTCCCTAAATTCTGCCCTATCTCTCTTGCCCACTAAAATCAGACAATTCCCTGTGGGCCTCATAGACTTTCTGGAGGCTTGCCAATCACCAGACATTAGACTTTTACAATTATGAGGCCTTATGCCGCGTTAATGTCAAATGCCACCAAGCTCATTCCTGGCAGTATTATGGGACTCGGGTTTTCCCTTTGGGGAGAAGGTGCCTTGAGGTCGCCAGGCAACCCCAAGGAGAACAAACAGAGCCCTTCCTTCAGACTTTCATTTCTGGCCCTCTCTGGGGAAGGGAGGACACCCAGACACAAAATGTGGCTAGAGGGACAAGCCCACCGCCTTCAGCCAGCCTGGCGCCCCACCCCCACCCCATCCTCTCTCCTCAGATCTACCCTTATGAACTGCTGCTGGTGACCACGAGAGGAAGAAATCGGCTGCCCAAGGATGTGGACCGGACGCGTTTAGAGGTGAGTCTAGAAAACTCAGCAGGAACCTTTGGGTTTGAAGGGATTCTAGAAGTTGCCTGATGTAACCCAGCTTAGGAGGTCCAGCAGAATGAAGAGCTTTAAGGTCATGTAGCTTGTGGAAAAGAGCAGAGATGCCAACCTGGTGTCTTTAGCCTAAGACTAAACATTGCTGTGCTGCCTTCTCAATTCGATTAGCATCTGTGGCCACAGCTATGTCCTGTCCTACCTGATGTGTCTATAGACATAAGACAAGAGCTGGTTTTGGTCCTTGCCCACGGGGGCCTGCAGGCTGGTGGATAAGAAGAAACACAGCCCCGGTTTCCTGCAGGATGGTACAGAAAGCTGGTGTTCCCTGTGGGGATCATGGGGTAGTCAGCACTGTATACAAGATGAAAGCATAAGATAATCTCACAGCAGACCCCAGTCCAGCCCTGGTCCTGCCATCCCTAGGCAGTCAGCTGAGCCCAGTAACAACCTCTCCAAACCTTAGTTCTTTCCTCTGTGGAGAGGGGCAGTTGTGTTTCTTTAAGTTGCCAGAGAAGTAAATGAGACACTAGCCACAGAGCCCTTGGTACAGAGTCTTGTGGTCTCCTAGGTGCACAGACTTTGAAGGAGCAGGTTTGGGGTGGAGAGGGGAAGGAGAACATCATGATGAGTGGGACAGCATCAATCAAGCACAGAGGCAGGGCTGAACATGGCATGGGGCTTTCCAGCAGTCCACTCCACTTGGCCTGGAGTTCCGGGCCCTGGGGCCCTGATCCTAGAGCACACTCTGCCCTTTCTACCGTGCCTCTCCCTGCCTCTCCCTCTCTTAGAATACCCTTCCCAACTTGCCAGCCTCCTCATTCCTCAGGGCCCCCCTGTAGAGATGCCTGTGTCGTAGAGCCCCCCAGACCTTCTTCCCAGGATGTTTCCCTCACCCCTCCTCCAGCATCGCTCAGCCCTGTCTTGGGAGTGGAGATCAAGCACCTCTTGTCCTTCCTTTGTATCAGATCACTGGGCTATCCACTTCCTCTGTCTGACAAAGATGGTCAGTCCTCTACCATGAGGCCTGAACCAGGGGAAGTACTGGAAAATGTTCATTAAGTTGAATGCAGGTTTCTAAGAGAGGAGGTTCAGCACCCCTTGGGATGAGCGTATCAACCACCGTTCACCTGGCTGCTAAGAATTTGTCCAGAATAAAGGGTTGGGGCGGAGGGAAGGGAATGTGAGCAAGCCAGGAAGCTCTGTGAGTCCTTCCAGGTCTAGCAGGCTGGGCTAGCAGCCTAGCAAGTGGGTGATTATCCCCACATTTATAACAAGGGCCTCCCTCATGGTCTAGCAGCGAGAAGCTGCCGGTGCTGAAGGGGACAGCTCCCAGGGCAGCTCAGTGGAACCTGCATTGAGGGATGGAAACCTGGTTGTTTCATCCTGGAGGACCAATCGCCCTCTTACATCCTCCAGGACTCCCAGAAGCTCTGGCCAGTGAAGGGTAACATCCCCTAAGAATCAGAAGCTTCCTAAAAATACCACTACTGCGCTTCAGCCTAGACCAGTGAAATTGCAATCTGGGGAAGGGGCTCAGGCACTGACTGGTATTTTTCAGATGCTCCCAGGCATGTCTAACAGGGAGCCTGAGCTGAGACCACAGGGCTACAAACACTGCCCTAGCCCCCTGCGTCAGTTCAAGGACGGGACTGAAGAGCTCCTCAAGGAGCTCAGAGTGTAGATTGTCTTCACCCAAAAGATATGGATTAGAAGCCTGTTATATAGACCAGGTCCTGTTCCAGGTGCTTGCAGAACATCAGTGAATAAAGTGAGGTGCATTCTCATTTGAGAAGACAGACCCCAGATGACACAAATAATAAATAAATCATCTAGAACATGGAACCTAGTAGGGCTGAGGGGAGAAGTAAAAGGAGAGCAGAGAATTGGAGGTTAGAGGGAGAGGTAAGTGGCCGTGTCAAATCAGGTGGTCAGAGCAGATCTCCCTGCCTACCTGACCGAACAAAGACTCAAAATAGGAAAGGGAGTTAGCCATGCTTAAATAAGGAGGAAGAGCATCCCAGGCAAAGGGAACAGCCACTGTGAAGGCCCTAGCAAGTGGTGAGTATGGCTGGGTTACGTGAGCACAGGGAAGAGGTTGAGGAGGAAATGAAATCAAAGGAAATGAGGACCAGACTCCACCATGTGACAGACACATAAGATCGTTACAGGGGTGAGAGTGAACAGCCTCTGAGTGCTTCCTGAATCTGGGCCATTGTCCATGACCCGCACTATCTCATTCACCCTCGATGTATCCAGGAGGTAGGTGCTAGGATGCTCCCACTTTCCGGAAGAGGAAATCGAGGCTCAGTGGGGTAAAGTAACTTGTCCAAGGTCACACACCCATATCTGCCTGGCTTTAAAGCCTGTGTGCTTTACCTTTATGCTTTCAAGTCTGTGCAGAATGTCAAAGGGAAAGCGCTGGCATTGGGTGCTTTAAACTCACAAGAGAAAGGAGGCTCCAGCTGGCCCTTCACAGAGGGGGAGCAGAAGTGCCCCGGTCTCCTCCAGGGTGAGGACACCATCCAAAGGTTGAGTCGGCCATTCCTTGGCATCGAAACTCATGAAAAAGATTTTTGGGCACAGCAGAGAAAATGACCTAGAGAATCAATAGTAACCTTCACCCTCCAACAAAAAAAGAACAGATGAGACTAACTGACAGTCCCCCTCAGTCTTTATGGTGGAAGGAGCTAAGAACAGAACTCGCCCCGCATCCACAGCATTTCTCAGCCCTCACTTGAGTGCAAGCAAGACAAATGCAGACACGGCCACAGCGTGGACAAAGGAAGGCACTGTCTGGCCTGGCAGAGGCTGAAGGGGTCCAACAACCAAATGTGATACGTGGATGCTGTTTGAAGCCTTATTCAAATAGCCAAATCATAAAAAGACATTTTTGAGACAATGAAGGGCATTTTATTATGAGCAGGGTTTGGGTAATTGCAAGGAATGATTGTCAGTTGCTTTTAAGTTTGTTCATGCCCTCATGGTTACCTAAGAAAATATCCAGTAAGTTTTGCTATCTCTGGGGGAGACACATAGGACCCTAGAGAGGCAGGAATCCATACAATGTCTAAAGTGTGCTTTGAAATACTTCAGCAAAAAACAATAGGTGAAAGAAATGTGACAGACTCTTGATAACTATTGAATCTGGATGATGGGCATGGGTGTACACTGTGCTATTTTTTCCCCTTTGAGTATTTTTGAAATTTTTCATAATAGAAAGACTTACTTATGAATTTTTAATGGGATTGGCCAAGGGGGGAAACCAAGAGTGTACTGTGTTTGCAAGCCGAAGGCCTGGCCTTTGGTCTCAGCTCTGCTACTCACCCTGGCTCCTTTCTTCTCTCCCTCCCTCTTGGTTAAGTTAGTCATTTTAACTCTTTGACTTTTGGTTTTCTCATCTTTTTTTTTTAAAGGATTTTATTTATTTATTTGACAGACAGAGATTACAAATAGGCAGAGAGGCAGGCATAGAGTGAGGGGGAAGCAAGCTCTCTGCTGAGCAGAGAGCCCAATGTGGGGCTCGATCCCAGGACCCTGAGATCATGACCTGAGTCAAAGGCAGAGGCTTTAATGCACTGAGCCACCCAGGCGCCCCGGTTTTCTCATCTTTTAATTAGATAGAAATAATGTCCGATTTTCAGAAGGGTTGGAAAGATTAACTGAGAAAATGGGGGCAATCACACAGTCGTGGGCATGGCAGAAAAGCAATGCAAGGAATTGCTGGTGTTATTAAACGCTCTTAGGTATTAAAAAACCAGCTCAAAGCCTCCATCAACCAATGATATCTATCAAAAGTATCAAAGTTACCTTTGCTTCAAGATCCAGAAATGTGACCAAAATATTAGTTCACATAGGTGAGAGAATTGGCTCATTATGGTGTGGCCATATACCTAATTCTCAGGGAATCTCCTTCAATATTCAATGAGCTAACGTGATTGCTACCAACAGATCATCTCAGGGATTCCCGTAGGTTTTCAGGGAGGATATATACCCTGCATATCTCTCTTCAAACAGAATTTAAATTTTTATTTTGAAGAATTTCAGACCTCCAGAAAAGTTGCAAGAATAGTGAAATGAACATCCTTCTACCCTTGGCCTAAATGCGAATTGTTAACATTTTGCCACATTTCAGGTGCCATATATTTCTAACTGGGAGAGCTTTTGACAATGTATCAACCTTCAAGACTGTTTGAAAGGGCAGGAGGAAGAACAGGCAGAAAGGAGGGGGAAAACCTGCCAAGGAAGGCAGAACGATGTTTCATTATATGGTATATTTGTTTTCATGTAAGATAGATATGAAAGGACATTTCAGTGGATAGAAAGTAGGAACAGCAGATTTTTTTTTTTCATTGACTGGAAAAAGGAATAACCTTCCAGCTCATTTGTAAAAAATAGTAATAAGAGGAAGTACACCCTAAAATCTTGGCCACGCCCCCCTTTACTCCCAAAGTTAGGAAGAATCCTATTAATTCATACACATTCTGGGGCACAGAATGCAAAAAGCCGGATGCAGATGGGTGAGGTCCTCCAGGATGCATCGAGAGGCACTTAGGTGAAGCCAAATTCCCACCTAAGTCCGGGCAGAGGAGGCCCCCATAGACCAGCTACAGAGGCCCCTCCCGGGAAACATCCTTGCACACAGTCTCGCATTCACCGACTACTCATCCCACACGTCTTCGGGTCTGTGCCAAGCACGGCACAGCCAGAGGAAACACCCAACGTCCCCTTCTGCCTGCACCTGCCCCCAGTCTCTACCTGTCGTCCTCAAGCTGTTCCCTCTCTGTGCCCTCCCACCTCCTTTCAGCGCCACCTGTCCCAGGAGGAGTTCTACCAGGTCTTCGGCATGACCATCTCGGAGTTTGACCGGCTGGCCCTCTGGAAGAGGAATGAACTGAAGAAGCAAGCCCGGCTGTTCTAGGCAGAGGCTCTATAAATATATATGCATTTATATAAAGATACATGTAAAATCTCTATACTGAAGCTCGGTATAATCCTCTCGTGTAATGGGACGCACCGCCAGCCACGGGACACCCCGCCAGCCACGGGACACCCCGCCAGCCATGGGACACCCCGCCAGCCACGAGACTTGCTTCTCTGTACTGTCAGGCAAGCCCACGTCATCGAGATATTTTTATGCTCCTTACTTTCTCTTTTCTAAGTGCTCTGGGGTTCGGGAAGGGATTTGAGGAGACTCCCATCCTTTTACTGGGGATCCTTTTTATACTGAAACATCTGTACTAACCTGAGTCCCCCAAGGTCCAACTCTCTTTCCTAAAGGAGGTGCCTGAAGAAGTCTCTCTTCTCTCTGCTTCTCGGCTCTCTCCCCAGTCTCCAGGGTGGATGCTGACCAGGCAGTTTCCACACCTTACTGGCCCCAGAGGGGCCCTCCCACGGGAGGATCCACAGTGATCTCCCAAAGTCACCGAGCGTCATGGAGAGCCCGTGAAGAATTCTCCCATCTCCCCCGGTTAGGAGTTCAGTGCTCTCTGGGGGTGATGCCCTTAGCTGTGTGGGCCTCGGATCTACTCACTACAGCAGCAAACGAAGTGGTTCGGGCCTGGGCCTCTCTGCAGCTTCTCAGTCCTCCTCCTCCTGCCCTTGGCCCTAACTTCTCCCTTGTCCAAGTCTCATGGTAGAAGGAGAAAAGTCATTTCCCTTCCCTCCACCACTTCCAACTGGTCCCTTTGCCTGGCCCCGATGTGGAGATGAGAGGGAAGGCATGGGAGCTGGCCACAGGAGCCAGAGCAGGGCATCTGTTGGAATTGGAGCTACAGGACCTTTTGCAACCCTCCTCTCACCCTCACTGCCCCCAGCACCTCCTAACCCTTCCCCCCTTCAGAGGAGAGGCCCATTATTACAGCCTTACTACGATCTATGTGCCTGACAACTCAACACACCACAGGGCTAACTTTCCCATCACAGTTCCAACAGAACAGCTAGACAGACAACCTCTAACTCCCCACCAAACATAATATAGGCCATGTCCCAAAGAAAGCCTCCTGGTCTATGTCTGCAGGCCCCTGGGCTAGAAGGGCAACCGAAGCTGTCCCTCACCAGTCAGTCATTGGCTCCCACTGCAAAGTTGGCCATGTTTCATAGGGGAAACCTTTGGAAGAATGGCTGCTTATGGAATTCCAAAATGAAGCATTTGCCAACAGTGCTCATGACCACCCTGGATTTCCCCAGCGGCTGCCTTTCCTGCCCTCTGGCCTTCTTGAACAGCGATGAAAGCTTGACTTTAACTTCTCTCCTCCCTTCCCCAAACCTTTGACCCCCGGCCCCCAGTTGGCAATGTGTGGTGGGGTCTGTTCCTTCCCGGAGATGCCTTGATGTAGATCATTTTGAGGTCACGGAGGGAAGACGAAGAAGTGGAAATAACCATTATGACTCTCCAGAGGCTGGTGTCGTGACCTGGCAAATAGAGAACTGACTCCAATCCAGCGAACCTTCACTGAGCCCCTGTGATGCTATGCACCTGCTGTATCCTGAGCACTGAAGGGGGGAGGGAGGTGGAGACACTGAGATAATCAACACGGGATCTGGACTGGGGGGCATGCCTGCTAGCACTGGGTGTCCTAGGACATGGACTCACACGTGATGGAAGTAAGGCAGGAAGTGATGGAGATGGCGTGAGAACGTGTTTGTGAGATTACTGAGAGAGCAGATGCAAGTTGGTGCAGACCAAGGAACTTTCTGGAAGAGATTGCATTTGAGCGAAGTTCAGGAAGGATCTCTGTAAACTGAGAGGAGACTGTAACTTGAAAGGGTGACAGGGTGAGGGGCCAGAAGGGGGTCTAATATTCTCTCATTTAAAACATCAACCCTCTCTGCAACTCTCCTTTTGGCCAGTGTCTTTCAACTGTCCTGACCCTTTAGAAATGTCCCCAGCCAGATGCAATCATTGAAACTGCCTCATTATCACCGGTTGAGAACTTGGCAAGATGAAGGGCTTTTGTTATTGTTGTTGGGTATTTTTGTTTCCCATAAAAGCACATAATTCCAACCCAGACCCGTGTCCTTCTGTTGTTTCTGGTGTGAGTGGAAATGTGTGATATGGGAAGAGGCTGAACCGTACACATTTTCCAAAATAAAAGAGTCTAGGGAGCAGCTCTCTCTTGGCCTCAGTTTCTCCGTCTGTAAATTAAGAAAATTTGACAAGGTAAGCATCACCCAGAGTGTGTCCTGCAGAACGCGGGGTTCTGCAAGACGGTGAAGGACATGCCAACAAATATGGCTGTGATCCAGAAACTCACCAGAATAACAGTAGCTCGCTACTAAGTACTGACAGTGTGCCGAGCTCTCCACTTAAGACTTGGCACCCATCGTGTCATGTCAGCTTCTGTAACAAACAAGAGGGAGGAAATAAGAATAATTCTTTGTATCTCACGGATGAGGAAACAGCTTTCAGGAGGACTTATAATTACCATGATGGAGCCAGAAGCCAACTCTAGCCTGTATGGGCTTAGAGAGACCAGCTTAGCCCCTCTTAGCAGTCAGGATGCTTTCAGCTGCAAGTAAGGAGCACCTTCTTAAAAGTGATTAAACAACGAGAGTCCATATTGTCCTGCGCAACTGGGAATCCAAGTGCAGGGCTAATCAGTTCAAGAGTTTGGGGATGCCATTGGGGGCCCAGGCTCTCCATATCTCTCCACTCCCCCATCCTCAGTACAGTGGCTTTTGTCCCGAGATGGGACCCCTCATGTTTGCAAAAATGATGCCGTGGCTCCAGGCATTGTGTCTTCACACCACAGCAAAATGCAGGATCCTTTGTGGATCTCTTTTGACCAGTAAACTATCCCAGAAGACCTCAGCAGACTTCTCAGGTCGCACCAGCAGAGCTAGGGAACAGGTTCATTCCCTTGCTTGCACAGAAGGCTGGAAGTTGAGTATTTGGCATTTTGAGCCTCAATAGTGGGTGGCAAGTGCTGTGCAGAGAAAGAAAAGAGATGGGAAGACAAGGAAGGGCCTCTGGATAAGTGAATCACAGTGTCCCTGCCACAGTCACTGTCCCTGTCCTTAGAGACCCACAATGTACATTGCCAAAATGTCCCACAAAGCTCTACAGTAACTTTGTTTAATCCAAAGTTTCACAAACTCATTGGACATAACTCTAAGAAATGTGAGACTTACTCTATTTCTACTGTACGTCCTATTTCTATCCTAAGATAAACACTTATCTCACTTCTGACATCTTTGAAGATGAGATGTGGCTTAAAAGTATATCCTTTCCTGACCTCCCATCATATGAGTCTTCTAAGAATTATCCCCAACATGGCCCCTCCACCCAGGTGGCTCAAATGTACAAAAGGACACTAAAGAATGCTCCTTTGCTCCCTGCCTACACACACACCCAGCAAATACTTACTGAGCCTCTGGTGGGGGAGGCAGGAGCACTGAAGATCACCAGGGTGTAAGGCAGTATGAGCTCTCATGAAGCTCTGGCCTAGAGGAGGGAGCAGACTGCAGGTAAGCAACAGCAAAGGAGATGACACAGAAAGATAACAGCTGCACAGACAACAAATGGAGCACCAGAGAGGGGAGCAGAAAGGGACAGGCTTCACATACTCACTGAAGGATGAAAACAAAGTATGCAAGGGAAAAGTAGGGGTGGGGCACTCTAAGCATAGAGACAGCATGTGCAAAGGCACTGTGGTTGGTGAGAGTTTGGTGTATTTGAGGAACTGAATCCTCCAGAGAAGACAGAGAGGACTGAGTGAAGGGGAGAATGAGACTGGAAGAAGGGAGGAGGGGAGGGGGGCCTGGGTGGCTCAGTTAATTCGGGGGTGGGGGGAAGGAGGAGAAGTAGTGAGAAGGCAGGCAGGGTCCAGAACATGCAGGGAGACTGTATGCCTCCCATTCATTCAGGCTTTGTGGACATTGTCTGGATTGCACTGTGGTTGCTAACCCACCAGATGCAGGGAAAAATTGCTCTGAGCCTTGTTCCTTTGACTGTGATCCCGAACCAGCTGCCGTGGAGTCCCCTTGGGAGTTTGTAAGAAATGCTGAATCTCAGGCCGCACCCCTGACTTACTCGATCCACATCTGTATTTTACTAAGACTGCTGGGTGATTCACACACATAGTGAGGTTAGGGAAGTGCTGCTCTAAACCCTCTTCCTTTTATGGACAAGTTGCCAACACCTTGGAGCCAGCCTTTCTGAAGTTGGAGAAGGGAACCTTTTCTCCCTGCACATGACCTTTTTGAACCACTGGGGGGCAACCTCACATTAATAAAGCAGAACATAAAGGGGAGAGTGCAGAAATCACAGAATCTGAGAGCTTAAAGTCAATACAATGGCCGCTCTTCGCAGCCGCGGAAGCAGGCTCCCTGAGCATCTGAGCAGAGGAGAACAAGCAGCCAGCTCGCCTGCACTGGGGCCCGTCATCCTTACCAGGCCCCTGGAGCAGAAACGCGGGGCTAGCTGTGGAAGGGGTCAGCAGCTGCCGCTGGCCACTGAACAGAGCCACACATGGAGGAGAAGGGCTTGAAGTTCAAGGAGGGGAAAGCCTTGCTAAAATCCATAGCAATGAACTTCACAGAACCATGCCAACTCCGTGAATACCCCATGTGGAATTAAGTTTGAAATGCTTCATTTCACATCAAACTTCAAGGTGCTCAAAATCTTGCCTCCACAATGATAAATACCTACTTATATACTGAGCCACGAGCTGCTGCCAACCCATGCAAGAGCCCTGGGCTGAGACTTTCAATAAATAAAATCCTGAAGCTATGAAGATGAGGGCCAGCCTCTCATTACCCACCCCCCAGGAACCCACACCCTCTTCACCTGCCCTGATCCAAGATGATGGGCACAAGAACACAGACGGGAGAGAGTAAAGGCCTGCCATCTCTCTCTCTCTCTCTCTCTCTCTCTCTCTCTCTCACACACACACACACACACACACACACACACACGGTTAGTCCTCAGGGCAAATTAAGGCCAAGTGTGCAGAAGAATTGAGTCAATGATCCAATTGGCCCATGACCAAAAGTGTTTCCCAAATTTCAGTTGCTCAAACACAACCTTCTCAATTGTCATCAGATTCTGATCTTAATGGCTATTTGCCTGATATTTTTCTTTCAATTGACTCATACCTGATATCTCTATTTTAAAGCAATATCAGGGAAAGTGTGAATTTATAAGGACCAGGGATATGCTTTTAACACAAATGCAAATCAATTGGTAACTCCTCAGATATGGCGGTCTGTGTAACACCGAAATCCATCCCACATTTCCAGCAAGAGTCTGAATTCCGTACTTTGGGAATTGCTCTGACAGAAGTGGGAGGGGAGAAGCTTTGTATTCCCTCAGTCCCTTCAGGATGACTGGGCTTTAAGGAGCAGAAGGGAGAACAATCAGAAGATGCTGCACAGAGAAGAAACCACAAACTACTTTGACAATCAAGCAGGATCTGACTGACCCCTGCCCACCTCAGAGAGCCAGCCAAGACTCTCGTACCGCTGGCTGCTTCCCAGGGGTTGTGCTGGCAGGAGGTCCCTGGACCTTGAAAAGTGTTCATTGGATACAGTTCCTTCCCGGCCACCCCGGGCTGTAGAGCCTTTGTCTTCATGGGTGCCGTGATGAGCTGTAGCAGGAACAGTAGCACTCCCTGAGTGCTACTCCCAGCCTCCCCATTTACCATGTGTGGGTTGTGGGCTACCCTGTGTCACCCCAAAATTCCTATGTTGAAGCCTTAACACCCAATACCTCAAAATGTGTCTGTATTTAGAAGGAGGGCCTTTACGTGAGGTGCCTAGGGCAGCCCCTACTCCAACTAGCCTGGTAACCTTATAAGAACAGAGATTGGGACACACAGAGACACCAGGTGACAGAGGAAAGCCCATGTGAAGAAGCAGCAGGAGGGTGGCCTCGGAGGACACCTTGAACTTGGGCTTCCAGCCTCCAGAGCTGTGAGAAAATAAATTTCCATGGTTTAAGCCCCTCTCCCCCCGCCCTTTCTCCAGTCTGTGGGATTTTTTGGACAGCCCTAGCACACTAATATACCACGTGAAATCAGCTTGCAAAATAGGAATGAAAAACCCTTCCCCTGGGTAGGGGCCATAATGGTAACATTGTGCCGGGGTGGACTTACTTCACACGGCGGTAAGGGCGGAATGGTGTACTTCAGGTTCAGTACCTGGCTGCGGGGCAAGGGGCCTCCTGACCGCTGGGCATCTGCCGCTTTCCTAGATCAGGTGGTTTACCCGGACTACAGTGCCCCCTCTGGCCGGTTCTGGAACTGCAAGAAAAGAGGACTGACTTTCACCGCCGCACTCTGTCCCTCTAAAGACCGGCAGGCCTTCAGCAGCGTGACTTCCTCTGCCACAGACTGGGACAGACCACCTGAAGGTGAAGATGAAGCAGAGGAAGGACGAGTCAGGAGCTGGAGACAAAGCGGAGACTGCTCTGTTTGCCAGCCTCATCCCTTACGCTCCCCAGTTACCCTCTGAGTGAATGTGGTTTAAGCTGGCTTGAGGCGTGATTCTGTCACTTGCCACCAGAGCAGTTGTGACCAGTACTCCGGCTCCAGAGGAAATTAACCCTCACAGGGGAGTCTCGAGTGAAGTCTCCCACGCCTTCTTGTGGATAAAGAATGTATTGACCATCTAACTCACAGACAGGGTCTTTACCCACCTGGACCAGGAGAAACTGTCCTGAGCAATTTGTCCTTTGAACAAAATAGCGCACTGTTTTAAAAATATACACACAAAATTCTACTGCATGTAACAGTAGCTGGAAGCTCTGTTAGCCTTCTATTTAAGAATACAAGGTGTTCAAAGGAAACAGTTAACAAAACCAAAAGACAACTGACAGAATGGGAGAAGATATTTGCAAATGACATATCGGATAAAGGGCTAGTGTCCAAAATCTATAAAGAACTTAGCAAACTCAACACCCAAAGAACAAATAATCCAATCAAGAAATGGGCAGAGGACATGAACAGACATTTCTGCAAAGAAGACATCCAGATGGCCAACAGACACATGAAAAAGTGCTCCACATGCCTCGGCATCAGGGAAATACAAATCAAAACCACAATAAGATACCACCTCACACCAGTCAGAATGGCTAAAATTAACAAGTCAGGAAATGACAGATGCTGGCGAGGATGCGGAGAAAGGGGAACCCTCCTACACTGTTGGTGGGAATGCAAGCTGGTGCAACCACTCTGGAAAACAGCATGAAGGTTCCTCAAAATGTTGAAAATAGAACTACCCTATGACCCAGCAATTGCACTGCTGGGTATTTACCCTAAAGATACAAACGTAGTGATCTGAAGGGGCACGTGCACCCGAATGTTTATAGCAGCAATGTCTACAATAGCCAAACTATGGAAAGAACCTAGATGTCCATCAACAGACGAATGGATAAAGAAGATGTGGTATATATACACAATGGAATACTATGCAGCCATCAAAAGAAATGAAATCTTGCCATTTGCGACGATGTGGATGGAACTAGAGGGTATCATGCTTAGCGAAATAAGTCAATCGGAGAAAGACAACTATCATATGATCTCCCTGATATGAGGGAGAGGAGATGCAACATGGGGGGTTAAGGGGGTAGGAGAAGAGTAAATGAAACAAGATGGGATTGGGAGGGAGACAAACCATAAGTGACTCTTAATCTCACAAAACAAACTGAGGGTTAATGGGGGGAGGGGGGTTGGGGGGGTGGGATTATGGACACTGGGGAGGGTAGATGCTATGGTGAGTGCTGTGAAGTGTGTAAACCTGGCGATTCACAGACCTGTACCCCTGGGGATAAAAATATATTATATGTTTATAAAAAATAAAATTAAAAAAAAATTAAAAAATAAAAAAAAAAAGAATACAAGGTGTTGGGGTACCTGGGTGGCTCAGTGGGTTAAAGCCTCTGCCTTCGGCTCAGGTCACGATCCCAGAGTCCTGGGATCGAGCCCCGAATTGGGCTCTCTGCTCAGCGGGGAGCCTGCTTCCCCCTCTCTCTCTGCCTGCCTCTCTGCCTACTTGTGATCTCTGTCTGTCAAATAAATAAATAAAATCTTAAAAAAAAAAAAAAGAATACAAGGTGTTCTTTCAGGGAAGGCAAAATATCTGACAGAATCTATCCCTTTTCCAACGGTTTGATTTACATAAGACCCCCTGCAGGGGGCAGCCTGGGCATGTGGCTGCGATTTCAGTATCCCCTCGATTTCCAGCAGCATCTGACCACCTCTGCAGAGGAAACCCATGTTGATTACAAGAATAACTCACACTGACAATGGGGCAGGCACCGGATTGGATCCCTGACTTATCTCATTTAAGCCTCTGGCTACTTCTTTTACCCTCCTTTTACAGATGAGGAAATTGAGCTCTTGATAAGTAACTCTTTCAAGGTTTCACAGCTATACATAGCAAAGCCTGAACCTGAACTCAGGGATGTCTCACCCCGAAGCCCATGATTTGGCCACTGTACAACAACTCCCTCCCTCAAAAGAGTGCGAGCTGAATTTGGAGGACGCTTCTCTGGGCCAGGCCAGGCACCAAGCACCTTACATACACGGTCGCACTGAAGGTTCACAAGCCCCATGAGGAAGCTATTGTTAGCCCCCGATTTTTAGATGATCTTTAGGTGAGCCATCGAGGGTTCAGAGAGGTTGAAGATCATGTCTTGGATCTTGCTCTTCCCCAGTGTGTCCCACAAATGGCAGAGAATGACAGTTATGGAGGCAGGAGTATGGCTCCCGTGACATCACGTCTGGAGTCCTGGACACCACTCCTGGCCCTGCCTCTTGGGCCTTGTGTGCTTTGGGTTGTAGTTTCCGTAACTGACCAACGAAGAGACCATCTCAGCTAACATTTCCGGTTCCTCTCTGCTCTAAAGTTTTTCTGGATTTCCAGGATTCAGAAATTCCCTTTGGACTTCTGCAGCCTGGTCTCATCCCGCAGCATGGATGTGAAGATGGGGCACACAGGGCAGCCTTTCAGAATAGAGGCAGCCCCTGCGGCAGTGTTAGGGGCTGGGCCTTACCTTGGGCTGTCGGGGTGGATGCACCCAGCTGGACAGACTCCCCAGAAGTCTTCATGAGGCCATACTCTGCCTCGATGTTCCACTAAGGTAGCTGTGGGCGCCATGAAGACCAGCTCACAATGTTTTCAAGCAACTGTAATTCATTACCAACCTTTATTTTTTTTTATTTTTTTTAAAGATTTTATTTATTTATTTGTCAGAGAGAGAGAGGGAGCGAGAGCGAGCACAGGCAGACAGAATGGCAGGCAGAGGCAGAGGGAGAAGCAGGCTCCCTGACAAGCAAGGAGCCCGATGTGGGACTCGATCCCAGGACGCTGGGATCATGACCTGAGCCGAAGGCAGCTGCTTAACCAACTGAGCCACCCAGGTGTCCCCCATTACCAACCTTTTTAAATCAAGAGATTTTACACTAAAATCTGGATTTCTGGGTTTTCCAGAAAGGTTTAAAAGGGTGGCCTCTTGGGACCCATGTTCCCACTGGCCACACCGACCCACACAGCTGGCTACTGGCCCATCTGAGGGCACAACAGGGCTCTCCTTGGCCATGGACCCAGCGCTCCCCTGACCCCTCACACATGCCCATCCCCAGGCTGGCCTTTCAGGCTTTTCAGGATGGGAACCTCACAAACGGAGCCAAGAGAGCTCTTGTTTTTAAGAAAGGACCCGGAGAGAGGGGACAGGTTTCATGCAGCCTTTGGGCATAAAAACAAAAGTTCTTTTCCTCCAAACACAACCAGAGCACTGGGCTCCGTTCACTACTAAAGCCGAACCTGGTGGCCCGGGTACAGGTAGGAAACCCGTGCCCAGGGAACAGGCACCAGAAAGTGTGACGGAGGGAGGGGTTTTCAGCCATGAAACTCCTTCTCTTTCTCCCAACAGCCACCACCCAGATCTCTATCTGCTTTCCGGGGCCCGGGGTGGACCAGCAGACATGTGTCATTTCTCTGGGTAGGGGCCATAATGGCAACATTGTGCCGAGTGGAACAAGAGAAGTTTTCATCCGGCCACCAGCCCTGGGCAGACACTCGAGCAGGGGGCTCTGCAGCTCGCTCTGCACAAAGGAGTGGGGAGAGGGGCCCCAGGCCCAGGAGAAGCCCAGTGGGCTGGGCTGTCTGCCTCCAGCAGCACGCAGTAAGGCAGGGGCACAGAGACCAATGGCTTGCAGAACACCTCACTGCGATCTCATCTCCCCCTGCAAATAAGTGAGCAAACAAACACTCCCAGAGGATCAAAAGCACCCTCCAGGATGTGTGCATTCAAGGAAGCCCAGGAGCCCTTGAGCAATTATTCACGGACTTACTCACCAGTACTTACTATCACTCACTAGGTGCCGAGAACTGCACTAGGCTATAGGGGTTTAGTGGAAAATAAAACACAGCACCCATCCTCACGCTGCTTGCAATCTGGGGGACCAGGAAGAGGCAAGGAGAGAAGCAAGAAGGAAATGAAACACTAGTGACCCAACCGAAGAACTGAGATTCACAGAGCAACAGAGTCAGTTTAAGAACCCAGGTCTGAACACCTGACCTGTGGTTCTTCTGACTCTTCCCAGGGTCTCCCGAGCTGCTTGTCTGTAATGAAAAAGGGGGTCAGTGAAGAAGGCACCCCGAACACCATAATAAGGAACTTGGGCTCTACACTGAGGGCAGAGGAGGCCAACACATCTTTTTACAGGGGATCTGATTGGAGTCGTGGAACGTTCACTTTGGTATCCGTAGTGCAAACAGACCTAGAGGCAAGGTGACAGGGTAGAAGGTGAGAGTATGTTTCTTTTGCTGGGACGCAGAATCTTTAGCCTCCAAATTTTTCATTCCCAGGTCTTCCCAGCTCCACCTGATAAGCTGAGAATGAGACTGGGGAGTATCATTTGTTTTCACAAGACTGGGAGCATGGGGGAGTTGAAAGCTTTCTTCCTGCTATTGTTCCCAGGATCAAATTTGATATCTTTTTACAGAGCCCGGAGCTCTCCACACAGAACTCTTTAGACAGCACCAGACAAATCTAGTACAGAGAAAAAAAAAATCCTCTCTGAGGGTCACAGTCACGCAGAGACATGGGAAGGCAAGGAGGAAACAGAGCATCTACAACCTCCATCCCAGTCCTTCACCAACGCTTACCACCCGACACCCCCAATCGCACCAAACCAAACAGCTTTGCAGGCACGTCCTGCCGTCTTCCATCTCTGTGGCTCTGCTCCCACTGTTTGCTCTACCAGTCATGTAATCCCCCACTGTGGGCTCACCCAAATGTCAGTCATCCAGTGCTGCCTCCGTAATTAGCAAGAAGTCCTCACCTTGTCTTGATGAACTCGAAGAGCACTTTATCTCTCCTCTGTTCCTTTTCACATAATGATCTGT